TACATATAGGCTTGTTGAACCGGACGGGGAGGAGGAGGAAGGCCATTTCCTGGTGAAGGATTGAAGCTTCCATTACTGTACATCGGAAATTGCGTTCTTTGGTATAATAAGAGAAGTTGAGAACCAAATTTGGGATGCTTAGTATCTGTGGTCTCAGGCTAAACGCCACTGCAAAAAACAATAAGAAAGATCAAAATGTGCAAATAGAAACCCAAAGTTTTTAGAAATCGAGTTCCTTAATATTAGCCGTGAGTTCCACTAGAAGATCAGAACCCTAACTGCGAACTACGGAAACACTTAACTACAGGAAACTTATCGCCTTAACTACAAAAAATCGAAGAAACCCAACTTCTGCAACTTTCTCATCATTGTTCTCCGACCTAAACGAAAATCGAAAAATCTAAAGGAAACATCGCTCCCTTCGTTTTAGCCGAACTCTCTCCTCAGAAACCAAAAAGGACAACGAAGATTTGCAATCGGTTCCATCGAAGACAGAAAAACTCACCAAACTACAAAATCTAGGACTTGAGAGACGCATCAGAATGTGTACGAGATACGAGGACTGAGAAAAGGGAACGAAGAAAATCCACGAATTTGATAAAAGAGAAGAAGAACCCTAAAAATATTTGTGAAAAGTCTGAGAATTTTCAGAGATTTTATTGGTGTGTGTTTACTGCGGTTACAATCTTAAAAAACGCCGACCCAAAAAAACCTTGAATAATGTTTATACCGATTGGAGATGCGGGGAATCGAACCCCGTGCCTCTCGCATGCGAAGCGAGCGCTCTACCATATGAGCTACATCCCCAATTGATATCTGTACACTTATACTTTAATTAATAACCGGGAAAAGGCCTCAAACAATTTAAGGCCCAAAGAAAAGCCCAATTTATTCATGATGTTGCTAAAATCCTGATCTAGGGTTTTGAATCTACTTCCCTTGTTTCTCCACTCTCTGGTTGTTACCATTTCCTCTTTGCTAAATAAGAAATGCCGCCTCCGTTACCGTCTCTTCAACTCCGGCGTCTACTCCTCCGTGGATTCG